ATCGATCGTTTCCGAGAGCTTCTATCGAATTCCGTGATTTTATACAGTTTTTGAAAATGGAGACACACCGTTGTTATTATGTTGCTCGGAGATAATCGGAATGGGAAACACAACACGTTCAACGTCCAGTTTCTGCCTGCAGTGCATCTTGTCGACTGGTCTGTCAGCTGTGTTAACAATTAAATGAAATTAAATGTTCAGACAGGTAGTAATTATAAACGTCTTATTATAATGTTTATCTTTCATATTTTCTGGTTGGTAACTGGAATTATACGTGCTGCTGAGATGTTTCGAAGAAATTAATTGTCGAATTGGAATGATTAAAAACTTAATTAATTAATTTCTAATAAAAATTTACTTAATATATTAAGAACTATTTGTTGGCTTTGTGCGAGCCAAACGTAAAAAGTGAATTTTTCACTGTACAAAATATACAATAAATAAAATCAGCATAGTTCATGCGAATAAATCAACGGTTGCAAATGTATGGTACATAAGAAATGGTTATTATGCGTGGGGAACATCTATTTGACGATCACATCGTTAGCAAACGTATTACAATGAAGTAGATGGAAAATGTGGGGGCACATGGAAATGAGCAAAACAACAATAGCGGAGAGAGATATGTGGACGTGGAAGTTGACAACTGCGAGTTTAAGGTCGGAGAGTTAACAGGTCGTATTGATAATGATCATAGATCTTTGCGAAGGTTAGCTGGGATCGACCAGGGAACCGAGACCCTTGGCGATTGACATTTTTACTGATGTACGTATTACATTATTATATTCGCACGTGTAGCAAATTCAACGCGTAAAGTGAATATTTTAGCGAAACTTATAGACTTTCACCAAGGCTCTTTCCCATTGTTCAAGAATTGGTGGATAACTACATACGAGAGCACGGTACAGGACTTTAATGTAGGAAGAACAATTAAACACAGCGTTTTCATCCTTTTTCAAACATTTTCGAGAAGCAACGTTTGTCATCAACCGACTGCACGTTTTATCGCGAACCTCTAAAAAATGTTTAAAAATACTCGAATAACAAAAAAAAAGCTCATGACGAACGGCTATGCATAAGTAAGTATAATATGTTAAAATCTTCTTCTCTTCTCCATCTGTAGCGCAGTTTATTTTTCACGCGAATTCTTTCGTTATGATTATTGAGAAAAAAAAAAGAAAAAAACGTGTGAACGTTGCGGCGGTGTAACGAATCCAGCGATTATGATTTAAGACGTGTAACCGTAAACACTACGAGAGCGGCGCGTGTTACCTTTTAGCCTTCGAATTGTAAATAAATTATAAATTATTGTAATAGGAACGACGAGTTGAAAAACGACGGTCGTGTGTCCGGCGTGATACGTCTGTTTCGCAAATCCGCGCGAAGTGCTACATGATAGATCGTAACACATTAAAATTCTTTTCGATCGATCGTTTTCTCCGAATTATACTTCGAGATCGAAGAGCAAAATATTTTTTCATTTTTTTTCTCTTTCGTCTTCGTAAAACGTTCATTTCTACTCGAGAACGTATTACGCGATCGACTTCGCACGGTTTTAATATGATGTGTAGGTACGCGCAGTAACACACGCAATACTTATGAGCGTATATGTGCCCACTGGTACAGGCGGTCGCACAACACGGTCAAACGAATAATATAAGAGTTGTTCTGGTGAAAATAATGTTCGATAACCTCGTAAGTAATAACGTATTTTATCGTACGTACTTGTATCGTACAAACACGTGTTTCAAAATATGCACGTAAATCTGACTTGTACGTGGGTGCACAGTAAAAATGCCGAATCCTGATGTATCTCGGTTCGTTCGTTATGATGCACTCCGTAAAGACTTCCAACTACCAATAACTACGGAGTACATCAAACAAAAATCAAACGGTTTTCCAACAATTTAAACTCTACTCAAAGTTTACTCAATTTTACCGTCTAAAAGACCTATTTACAATGCACTGAATCCTGCGTGGATACATCCACACCTCCTTCATTAAAGACGATAAATCTTTAGCTCTCTCTATCTGTTTGTATTTATATAATTATCTTTATAATCATCTTTATTTATTACAGTTGGACGATTACTTGACTATGTAAAAACTTCGAACACTCGACTCGAATCGACAAAAAATAATCTACTCTATTCGATTTTAAACGACTTAAATCGTTTACTCGATTTAAATCAAATACTCGAGTTTATTTTACTACTTTAATGAAAAATAAATGCTAAAGTTGAAAATAACTGGGAGGCAAATATCATAAATTAAGTTAAATTATATAAAATATTATACTTTACATGGCTAGGCTAATAACAATAAATCAATGTATATACGAATCGAAGATGTGTTTTTAATTTACCGATCAAAAATACACAATTTATTTGTTGAAAATTAATTTTTCGAAGTGCTATGCAAATTCCAGTTGCCTGGTAACCGCGCTGTGATTTTAAGAAAGTATAATTTGTTGTCTACTAAAATATGCGATAAACATTTGCCTATAATTTACATAGAATTGTTAATTTTCCCAGTCATTTTCTCAACATTGTTCGGATATAAAATATCCGTAAATAAATAGTATACACGGGAGGGTTACACTTGATATCAACAATTTGAATATAAATATATTTGCTTATAAAATAAAAATATTTAAAGAACATTGTTCAACAACGCACGAGACAAAGCCGAGCTATTCTGCTAGTTATATATAAATGTACTAATTTTTTTTGTTCGCGCTCGAGGCGGTTGTGTTGCCCGATCAGTGGACGTCACCCTTCAACCGCGACTGGTGCGTGTACAATAATAATAATAATAATAATAATAATAAAAATTGTAATAATAATAATAATAATAATAATATTCAATGAGATAATGTTATAGTAAATCACCTTGCAACGAATACACCGTTCGCGTCTGCGGATCGGCGACGTTTCGTGCTCGAGGCGCGCCTCGCACTTTATCCATCTTTCCGTCGGCGTTGTGCGTTGTATAGAGACACATCGGACAGCTGAATGTAACATGTTTTATTTATTTACCGATTCGCACGTGTCCGTATAATTTGAATATAACATTATTTCATTTTTTTATTATTATTTTTTTTTTTTTTTTTTTGATCGATGCGTTAGATATTTCAATGACGAAACGAACGCGCATACATCTGTGACCGAGTGTGTATGTGTGCCGTGTACCATGTAAAATAAACTCAAACATATTTACGATACAATAATAATAATAAGAAGAAAATATCCAGACTCATATTTTTGACACGCCTCGTGCCCTTCGACTAAACGTTTTAATTTTTTTTTTTTTTTTTACTTCGTTTAAAGGATTTTGTACATGTGTATGTGTATATGTGCATGGCATATTTCATAATCCACACGTAACGATCACAACGTTATTGTGATTAAAATCATCGATGTACAAATATCATATACTGTATATTGTTCACATGTGCACGCGCTGGTGTTACGAAGTTATTTTCATGTACTTAATAAACCGTATGACACACACACACACATATATATATATTCCGCGATGTATATTAGGTATAAGGATAAAAATATTATCACGATATAAATAAAAAAAATTAAAAATATTCACATATCGTGGATACTGTAAATCAATCGACAGTAAAATGTGTGAATAATTTAGAGTATATTTACGCTGGCACAAATATTTACCATTGTATAATATTATAACTAGGGTTTTGAATTTAATGCACTAAAGAACCTTAAAAAATACATTAAAAATGCAAAAAAAATTCAATATAAAATGCCAAAAATTATAGTATAAAATTAAGTTAAAAAGGTTTTTAATTTAATTTTTATATTTATATTAATATTAGGTACACAGGATTATACATTAGAACATTAGATGCATAAATAAGTGTTTTTTTAATAAAAAAAAAAAAAAAAAATTTGCTATTGAATTTGAAGTTATATGAAACGGCTTCACTATGTCATGTATATGCATATGATTATATATATATGTTACAGTTAAAACCCGAAATCCGTCAAAACTAGTTTTAACTAGTTTCCACAAATCCCTTTAGTTAATTCTGGTTTTAACTAGTTTAAATTAGAATTAACCGCAGGTGTAAATGAGTCAGTAAAAACTAGTTTTAACTAAAATGCATGTATTCGAACGTAGGTTACGTGTTGTCCGGTCACGTTATCGCGGACGAGAATAAGCTGCTGCGGTCGTTGCAATAACGACCGCGACAAATATTGCTCGATAATTCGACCGGCCGATTATCAAATCAATTAAGATAACTTTAACTAGTCTTCCATCACGCAGATATGATAACTTTGACATATTATACCTACAATAATATGTTATTGATATAGATGTCAGCGTATATTGTCGGTGATGCCGTGTTTCGTCAGTACGATTGTGTTCGTTGTAGTCGTTGTACCTATGTGTTTTTGTTGCGAATTTGTCCGTTTTTTATTCTAAGTTCTTTTTTGCGCTCTCAATGACGTTCACCAGTATTGAACATCATCGTCGGGTCACTGTATACTTTCGTATCATGTCAGAAACTGAGACAGAAATTAGTACCCAAGAACGATTCTTAAAGAAGCTTATGGAATTGGCGAAAGGAAAGGACAATCATTATAATATCATTACAAAAGATGCATATAATTTACTTCTAAAAGAGGTCGAGGATGCGATATTAGCAACTAAAAAAACATCTACTCAGTATAGAAGGATGAAACGGTTTAATGTTATAGAATTTGGCGGTACAAAAAAGCTGATAACCCCTCGGAGATCCAGTTAAATTTTATTTGCTGGTGGAAGACATTTTTAATGTCATTGAATTGTCACACGTCGCTGTAGGACATGGAGGAAGAGATCGTCTGAAGGTTGAAACTTCAAGAAAGTACGCCAACATCACTACTGACATGATAAATATTTTTTTGTTCCTCTGTGAAACGTGCCAAAAAAAGAAAAGCTAGGAAAGAAGGACTCGTTTCGAAAACAACTTTGCACACTGAATTTAATAGTAGATGTCAAATAGATTTAATAGATATGCAGTCGCAACCCGATGCACAGTTTAGGTTTATACTTAACTATCAGGATCATCTGACAAAATTCGTTCTGCTCCGCCCCTTGCAAACCAAGCGTGCAGAAGAAGTTGCAAGCCATGTATTAGATATTTTTTTAACCTTTGGTGCTCCGGTTCTTCTGCATTCAGATAATGGAAAAGAATTTGTTAACAATGTGATTTTAGAGCTGACAGCGCTATGGCCAGAGTTAAAAATTGTGCACGGAAAGCCTAGGCATTCACAAAGCCAAGGCTCCATAGAGCGTGCTAACCAAGACGTAGAGCGAATGCTCGCTTTCTGGATGACAGACAATAAATCAACTAATTGGTCTATCGGATTAAAGTTTGTCCAATTTATGAAAAATAGAGCACACCACGCCGGGATAAATATGACGCCTTATAAAGCAATGTTTGGGGTTGATCCAAGAGTGGGACTTGTAACCTCTAACCTGCCCAATGAATTGATTGCTACAATAAACGTCGAGGATGAACTTGAAAGTATCATAAGTACTGAAACTACAAGTGAAAATATGATTAGACAAAAAGCTGCAGGTAAAAATTTTTATTTTTATTTTTTAAATTATAGTTATTAAGTTTAGGTAATATTCATGTTATTTCACAGTAAATTTTTTTATTGCTGTTAAAATAAATGTTTTATTTACGTATTTTATAATATAAATACTGCCTATATTTTTCGAAAACTTTCAAATTATTTTTTAGTACAAAAATTATAAAAATTTTAACTTTTATAGTTAAGGATTGAAAACTTAAAACAAAGATTCTTATTAATAGTTCATACTGTAACCAACAAATCCAATAAATACATAAACACAGTATATTTCTTTGATAAGTTTCAGATACCATAAATGCAATTAGAAAAAAAGCTCATGCAAATTTGGAAAAACAGGCAACTCGAATGATGACTCGAACCGAAAACAAATTTCCTGCGGTTGAAGTTGGTGTCAACGTAGTAATCCGCATTCCAGATGTTGACAAAGGCAAAACCGATCATCCAAATCTCATCGGAATAGTGTTGGAAAAAACAGAGTACGATCTATATAGAATCGGATGTAAGGATGGAATTCTAGAAAAACTTTATTGTAGGTGCGTCCATTATCAACTTTTTATTTAATAAATAAAATAAAATTAGATAATAATGAGTAATCAGTAAAAATTGTTTCAGGTCTGAATTTATAACATGTAAAGAAAAATTCATCACATATAATCAAGTTCCAAAAAATCATATTTCCCTCCGTGCAGCTGCAACAAAAGCATCAACGGGGTCAGGGCAAGGATTTGTAAAATGCACATGTAAAACATCCTGCAGAACAAATCGTTGTTTATGTAAAAAAAATAAAATTCTATGTAACTCTAAATGCCACGATAGTTTGTCATGTCAAAATAAATAATACAATAAATGTTTATATATAAATATGTATATATATATATATAATATATATTTATAATATAAATTTATATATAATATGTACTTATATTTCTACATTTCCCTAGTTAAAACTAGTTTTACCTATCAATAAAACAATATGAATTTTCACTAGATAATTCTAGTTTTCACTACTATATTTTAGACACAACTAATTGTAACTAAATAATAATAAGTTTAAACTAGTTTTGACGATGATGGTCTTTGTAAATTCTAGTTTTAACCAGTTAAAACCAGAATTGACTAAAGGGATTTGTGGAAACTAGTTAAAACTAGTTTTGACGGATTTCGGGTTTTAACTGTAACATATATATATATATTTTTTTTGATGCAATCACACAAAAACATATCTAATATTTTATAGTTTTATCGATCGACTGTAACTTGCATCCTAAACTGTTATCGTTATGGTTAGGTAAATGTCGCGTACAGATTAAAGAGTTTTCAAAAAAGTTATAAATTATTTGCATCACGAATAGATTGTTTTTCTTACGCTGTCAAATATAATGTTGCCTATGAGCTTTTGATTAATTCCTGAAAACATGAAAAAAATTGCACTTTGTGACAGCGAAATGGCAATACGATTCTTAAAAACGTGATAAACATTTATCTACATAATGTAAAAAATTAAAATAAATAAAAACATTAATGTTCAGACTAGCGTTTTAACCCGGTCAACTTCTGTACACTTGTATATTTAGGTACTCGAAACGCTATTCCATTTCATTTTGGTGAATAATGAGTGGTTATTTGTCGTGTTATTTACTACAAACGACGTTGTGCACTCGTATAATAATGACACATTTTTTTTTTTTTTTTTTGCTCGCACGCGTTAGATAAACGTCGCGACTGCGGAGTATGAATTCTCCTCGTCTCCGTCGAATGCCCGGGAAACAATAGAATACGCGGCGAGCACAATCCTCGTATGTAATCATAACGGATACGGGCCAAAACGGATGTGCGTTTTCACTTATTACACCGTCGGCAGATTCGAAACGGTACGAGGTGGCGTTCGACTTTTTCAAATAAACCGTAACAATATCTATTTCAAGCACGGAGTGTCGTTTAGTACATTTCCATATCACAATAAACTGTAACGGTTCCGCGTACATATTATATATCGATCTTAAAAATTTTAATATTTTGTGAGCAGGCAAATTATAATGTGTATTTAACTGATTTAAATTATCCGAGGACGTCAGAACGCTATTTAACTGTAACGGTTGCGCGTACATATTATGCTTCGATCTTAAAAATTATAATATTTTGTGAACAGGCAAATTACAACATGTATTTAAATAATTTAAATTATTCGAGGACGTCAGAAAGCTATTTAACTCTAAAACAATAAGAACTCGCCGCATTACGTTTCAGTCGAAACAAACGGTCCAGATTTACATTGTTTCAAAAATTAAACATTTGGCAGAAAAATAATAATAATAATAATCGTTATGCATTATATTAATATGATGAAAATCATAAATTTTTTTTAGCTGGAAACAAAAATAAAATTTTTTTCCTTCCCACCAAAGCCATAGTACACAATTTAGTACTATTAATATTATCATCATACCAACTTGCACGGCGGCAGTTAAGAAACGTCGAAAAATTTTGTAAAACGATAATATTCGTTTTAACGTCGTTTTCCGTTCGCGTCGCGGACAGACTTGTATATTATATTATACAAGGCGTACAATAAAAAACGTAGCGTGTATGCACATATCGCACGTACAGGTGACGACGACGACATTAACATTTTAAAATATCGAACGTTATAATGGTCGGTTAAGTGAAGCAAAAAGAAAAATGAAATAATTATACTAATTGCATTTTATTTTTTTCCTTAAGACAACCGTGGAAATCGAACACGGGTCGTCAGTGGGGGCACCAGAAATTTTTCCTAGGGCGAGCCAAAAGGAAGCCAATATATATTAGGGCTGGCACAGTTGTATGATAGTTAAATAAACGGTGGGGGGGGGGGGGGTTGACAAATGCTGGACTGCCCTGAGTGTCTTTTTTTTTACTCCGTATCGGGTAAAAATGATTCACTAATGTTATCGACAAATTTAAATTGTGAGTTATAAGTACATTATTTTTAGACATTTTAGTGAATTATTTAATTATTTAATTGTTATTTAATTATCATTTTTGTACAAGTATAAAATAGTTAATATATAACAAAATATTTAATTACCTGTTGGTTGATATTGAATTTATAATATCAAGTAATTCAAGAGAAACTCTTTTTTAATAAGTTACGTTAAGAAAATCGTTTATACTTCGTTTAGATACTTTGATTAATAATGTAACTTGAAAATAAGAAAAAAGAATAAAAATTAAAAGAATAATAGAAGAGTACGCGACTAAATAAACAAAAACTGTGCTACGACGACAGTATAAAGTTTCACTGTTCACTAGTTTCTAACTGCTACATGTCCACATTACAGATAGATTGGATATCGGAGTGTAGGTATTATGTACCGATGATTGTAATCTAGACTTTACGGTCATATTTCAGGATTAACTAAAATTAGATTTATTCGATAATATTGTCACAATCCCGTCTAATAATGGCAAGTCCGTTTTTGACCAAAACCGTACCCTTCCCTTTTCGGCCGATTCACTTTTCGACCAAATTTAAAATAGGCCGATTCCCTTTTCGACTAAAACAAAAATTTATATAATACATTTAAAATAATAAAATAATGATGTACAATGTTTGATTATGATGGAAACTACTATAGTATATAAATGACGATTCAGGGTTTTACTCGCGTAGCGAGGTTTTAGGTACACATACAGAGCTTAATCCCATTTGCAACAGTATCAAGGTTTGTAAAAAAATTAGGTTAGGTTTAGACTATAAATCCCCTTGGGTCGAAACCTCATCCTCTCGAAAAGTGTCACGTAGTGGCACTCGAGTTTGTGAATGGAGTCGGCAGACGTAAAGAGCAAAGTCTTAACATTTTTAAAATTAAAGTTCCGATTTTTCGAAAAAAAAATGCAAACAATTTTCATTACGATAAGAGATCAAATCTAGATACAAAATATCGTCATTTTTTATATTAATATTTTAATAACTATTGACAACAATTGTACATCATTGTTTTAAATTTATTATATACATTTTTGTTTTAGTCGGAAAGGGAATCAGCCTATTTTAAATTTGGTCGAAAAGTGAATTGGCTGAAAAAGGAAAGGTACGTTTTTGATCGAAAACGGCCATGCCCCCTAATAAGCAATAAGCCGTTTCCGCGAACAACTCCACCAAATATAAGACGTACATAATCGACGTGCGTATGACTTAGGAAAACAAGACCACGAAGTTACAGGTATACTATTTCCGTAACACTAGTTCACTCTCTACAGGCAACGCCCGGTCATGGGTGACTGGAGTGATATAAAACACTACTAATAAGATTTTATCATTAACTATTAAATATCGGTTTATCCCATACCCTTTGATAGATTAGCTCACCGTTCGCCTGAAATATTATTTCCTATACGTAAGTACGCTTCCAGCTTTCGAAGAAGTTAAATTGTTCTTGGTTATGGTTAACCCTCTATAATTCATTGTAGCCTTGCCTGTGAAGGGTTAAAAATTATAATTTCAACAATTAAATTTCATCAAAACTTTTAGGCGGGCCAACGGGTGGATCAGAGGTTTCCAAAGCGAGCCGTGACCCGCTCGGGCTCGCCTTAGGCGCCGCAACTGCCGGGTCGTACGCGTTAGGATAACTAATTTATCACACGGTACGGGCGCAAACACTTGTTGACGTAGAATTTCTGAAAATAAAAAAATCAATATTGAAACGTTTTCAAATCGATTCCGACGGATTTCGATTACAGCGAACATTGCATTATTACGGCACCGTGGATTCTCACCTTCTTCGTGGTCGCAAAAGACAATATCATAGTTTTACGTTTTTTTTTTTTTTTTAGCTTCAAATTATCGATGAAAACGTGCCGAACGTTCGCTTCGGACAGCTATCAAGAGTTCATCGGTTAACCGGCCCTCTTACGTTGCATACGTGCTGCGCCTGTACTTCGTTACGTCGACGCGTGCGTAAAATCGCGTGCACGGAGGCTCTATAATGATACACACGATTCGGGTAACGGAGCGAAAAAAAAATAAATGTACAAAAATCGAAACCGCGCGTACACCTCAACTGCGTATTACTGTACAGATCGATCGTACGTACGTAATACCTGATCCGACGGGGAGAGGTTCACGGCCGCCCGGAGCGTGTCCTGAGCGGGTTGTACGGTAAAAGGTAAATAAAAAAAAAAATAAAAAAAAATTGAAACAAAAATAAACATAACGGGAGACGCGCATAATATGATCCGTATACGATTCGTGAGGAATACGTTTGGATAATATTATACTCGAAGTGTGTGGGCACGCCGCGCGAGAACGTTTTTCGCACGAGTTATCTCGTCGCGCGCGCACGCAACCGCGTTCGAACATCCGACGTTAATTTATGCAGGAATTTCACGCGGAATCCGCTCACACGTGTTCGACAGTAAACGTACGCCGGGGCACCGTGCGAATATATTACGTGCATTGCCGTCGTCGGCGTACGTTGACTCAATATGTTGCACGGGGACGGTGTTGAAAATGGGATCGCGCGGTGGCCTGCGACGGCCTCGGGTGAACCGATTCGCCGACCGGGCTGAATCCGAATTTAGTCCCGAATTATTTTAAGTACTACACTAGTCAGGTCCCGGATTTGTATAGGTACTACGCTAGTCGGGTCCCGGATTTTTATAGGTACTACGCTAGTTGGGTCCTGGATTTTTATAAGTACTAGGCTAGTTCCTGAATATTTTTTTGGTAATTACTATGTTATACTAACATTTTCCGTCTTATTTTAACAGACTTAGGACTGTCTATGATCTATTTAGACCACAGGTACGGTTAAAAATGTTTTTTATAGTTTTTTTTTTTAACATTTTAAATATTTT